GTGAATTTACTCGAAATAGGTATTTACTAATTTCTCCACCCACTTAAAATGAAATCTTTAGTAAAAATTGCACTCTAATTTACAGCATTCACTCGACATATGAACGGAAAGCGACCAAAAACGCTGGTGACGATGTACTGAAAACACTGTAAACTACTTCAGTCAACGAATAATTAATGTATGTTTTGTAGTAAATCTGGAATTATCAACTTCCAAGCAAAAAATCATATCAGCAGTATCATGAAAAGATCTAAGTTAGACTAAAGTTTGCAGCCTTGAGGAATCGGGAAGCTTCCTGAAGCTCTTCAACAGTGCTCATCCGAAATCCCACCATTAAGGATTAAACTCAGAAAGATGACCGTGAGATATCGTAAATTAATTAAATATAGACTTAGACACCATAAGATCCTAGCTCAGAGGTCTAGAGCTTAGGCATTTACACACAAGACCGAAGGCCTTAAGTTCCATTATCAGTGGCTGAGGTTTTAGATGCACCTTGCTGAGGAGTCCAATAGAAAGATAAATCAAATGTCCAATGCTTTCAGGTTTTTAGGAGTTGTTCAACATAGATCGATTCTTGATTTCAATAAAATTATTATTTAAGTTTCATAGTGTTTATTACTTGAACTTTGTAAAAGGATATATTTCATAGATTGCTTAGAACAGAAGACAACAGATGCTGAACTGTAGATGGTTAATTAGTTAATTATATCATGAATTTTTACCTATTTCCATTCCATAAAAATTAAAAATGTAAAATAAGGTTATAGTTTCTAATAGACAAAATAAATTATATAACATCTAAGTATGTTCTTATACAAATTTTCAAGTTCACAACAGTATATACCATTCGCAATGTTTAATAGAATCCCCTTTATACAATTCGTTTAAGTCTTTTAAGCTAATAACCATATAGTGTATGATAAAAGTACTAATTTTAAACTGGTAATAAAGAAGCCATGTGAAATATTTCTTCAATAACATTTATAACTTTAGATTTATTCAGTACAGATGTAGATATAAAAACATCACCCTTATTACCAAATAGCATTTGGTACTAAAAAACTAGATTAATATAGACCTCTAATGATGACCATTAAACTATTAACCTATTTTCATAATTCACGAAGGAGAAATTTAACCGAATGTGAATAACTTTCTATTTATGGGAATGAATAAATTTGAAAAACATTTATTTTCATTTTAATATATGTTACAAATGTAAACAATTTTATGCTAGTAAATGTATATATAAGGCATTTTAGAAACCCAAGGTGAATCACCCTAATTCATTTGAATGACAGTTTAACTCATGCATCGGAAACTGATAAATGAGATAATACAACAAATGACTGATTTCTTAATAAATATCACTGTCAAGGTTAACTTACTTACTTACACCTGTTACTCCTAGTGGAGGAGCATAGGACGCCCACCAGCATTCTCCATCCAACCCTGTCCTAGGAAATCCTTTCCAGTTGTTTGTTTCCTTCTCATATCTGCTTCTATTTCCCGACGTAATGTGTTCTTTGGCTTCTCCCTTTCCCGCTTCCTTTCAGGATTCCAAGTTAGGGCTTGTCTCGTGATGCAGTTTGATGATTTCCGTAATGTATATCCTATTCACTTCCAACGTCTTTTCCTAATTCCTTCTTCAGCTGGAAGTTGGTTTTTTCTCTCCCACAGAAGGCTGTTGCTGATGGTATCCGACCAATGGATACTGAGTATCTTGCTGTTACATTACATAATTTAAAATAAAGTTAATTTAGACTTGATTTGGTGACAAAAGCCTGGTCAACTCTAGACATGTAATTCCACCAGAATCATCATTCACCTGTATTTGCAGTTTAAAAAACTGAATCAAATAAAGTTTATATCAGATATTTTTGTACAATACAGACTATAGCAGATCATCAGTTTAACCTTGACCTTCTTACTCAAAGTTGCATATTCAGAGTACTATAAAGAATACTGCTGGGCTGCCTAAATTTCTTCATATGGCTAACAAGAATAAGTAAGAAAATAACTTACAGCACGAAACATTCATGTCTTTAGTAGTATATTTCGTTGAAACTATCTATTTGAGAAGGGTTTTTGTGGGTATTATAGCAAATTCAATGGTTGAGATCATGAGTCATTTGAAGCTAGACCATCGTGAAAAACCTGGAAGCACTGGACGGCCGTTTCGTCCTATTGTGGGACTCCTTAATAGTGCGCATCCACGACCCCGCCCTCCGCGAGATGCCGGCCGGCTCACTGGTCTAGCGGTTAAGCGCTCACGCGTGAGACTGATAGTCCTGGGCTCGAATCCCGCGAGGCGGTGTCATGGATGCACACTACTGAGGAGTCCCACAATAGGACGAAACGGTCGTCCAGTGCTTCCAGGTTTTGCATGATCGTTTAGCTTTAATTGACTCATGATCTCAACCACTGAAATTACCATCGATTTTATCAATTATTTCATACACTTATGCAAACGGGATAAAATCAGTTTATTTTTAATTCATCCAATTATCTATTGCATTTATTGTCTCAACGTTATTCTCATTACTAAACCCAAAATTTCTGAACATTTCACCATTCGGTAGCATAAAAGCAAGCACTAATTTTATTAATTTTTTACTCGAGTTGCATTAATTGTTTTCTTAAAGCACACTTCTGACACTTAAATAAAGTGTTTGTCTTAGCTTTTATTTGTTATAACAATTAAACCTTAATTTTAATGTTTTGATGGAATAAAATGGAATGCAATTGATTTACTAATATTCCGTAACTTTCATAAACCTTCTGTTGTTTATTTTAATAACCTGTAGCCTGAATTTTAGCAGACATGAAGTTTATCATGTTGTAGACTTCCTCGTGAAAATCATTCAATTATTGTACCTTGGAAAATCAGTGGTCAGTGAATATCCATTTATTTATAGTTTAAGATTATTATTTTCTAAGCCCTTAAAGACGGGATAAAATAAAGCTCTGTAATTCTTAACCGTGAAGTAAGCACATAAACACCCCGATTATGTCGTCACTTAGTTGTTTATTTTTCCAGCAATATAAACTCTTAGATCCTACACTGACAACAATCAGTATTGATAGTGGAAATCTTTTTTAAACCTTTAGTTATTTCGTTTAATTGAGAAATTCAATAATAATAGGTCAAAAGTTAGCCTTGAGGATTGTGTATTTAGCACAAAAAGGATGTACACTCAGATGGTGGAGATTTGTAGCTCAGGTCGTTGATTTGGTGAGGTTTCGTTCTCTGTGCTGGTATCACAACAATTACTTGAATGACTGTACATAAAAATAATCCAATATTCTGCTTGGTCATATAATATACGTCACACTATCAAAAGGGGGCTTTGTGCAAATTTTAATAATTTAACAGCTGAATTCATGAATCACTTAAAACTAAACTACCATGGAAAACCTGGAAGCACTGGACGGCCATTTCCTCCTAGTATGGGACTCCTCAGTAGTGAGCACCGACGGATCCAGGGTTTGAATCTGGCGGGAGGGGTTGTAGATGCGCCCTGTTGAGAAGTCCCATACTAGGACGAAATGGCTGTCCAGGTTTTTCATGGTAGTCTAGCTTTAATTAATTCATAAATTCAACTATTTAAATACATGTAACTATTACGGACATTTTAATTCAGTTTTGTATTAGTTCTTTGAATCTTCCCATTTATGTTTAAGACTGTAATTGATCAGTCTCTTATTGACATATGTAAACCCCGTACAGATTACCTTGATATAACCTAAAGTCACAAGCATTAATAAGCAAAGCTGGATAGTAGCTAGTAGTCAAATCCAAGACTCACTTTTCATTCTATTTGATACTCATTAACTGAATTAAACTATATTCCATAATTGATGTATACCATTCATTTCAAATATCATCAGATTATCCAACTAACGTTTTACAAATAATAATTTTTTCACTGACTGAAATCATGAGTCAATTGAAGGAAGACCACCATGGAAAACATGGAAGCACTGGACGACCGTTTCATCCTATTGTGAGACTCCTCAACAGTGCGCATCCACGATCCCGCACCCCGCGAGATTCGAACCCAGAACCTATCAGTCTCGCGCCAGGCGCTTAACCAACTAGACCCTTGCTCACTAATGACTGACGTCAAGAGATACTCCTGGAGTTCTAGTGAGAAGCCGTTACCAGTGGAGTTCAACCAGGTCTGTTATGAGATAGGAACTCACTGAAGACAATGGTGTACGGTGGCGAAACCTCGTGGATTGGTTGAAGTTAGACATTAACACCGTTGGATGCCGGCCGGCTCAGTGGTCTAGTTAGTTAAGCGCCTGGCGCAAGACTGATAGATCCTGATTTCGAATCTCGCGGGGTGCGGGATCGTGGATGCGCACTGCTGAGAAGTCCCATACTAGGACGAAACGGTCGTCCAGTGCTTCGAGGTTTTCCATGATGGTCTAGCTTCAATTGACTCATGAATTCAATCAGTGAAATTTCTAAAATCTCCACAAAACCCCTTCTGATAATAGTTTTTTTTATTCATAAAATAATAAACTTATCCAATCGTATTGCACCATTGTTATTTTTTTTTAAAAATAATGAATATCATTGGTCAAATACAGTATCTAATCAAAAAACAGATTGATAAAATGTACTCGTATTTCTTATTTAAAAAAGATTTTTTTTACATAAAAGTAAGAGTTTACTTTTCACATAGTACACTACATAAATAACAAATAAACAAACAACACAAAACAAAACAGAAACTATCATGAATTCGATTATAAATTTCATATCAAACTTTATTAAAATGATATTCATTGCTTATATATAATGAATATAAATTATGAATTATATATATATTTTTTAATGATCCTATTTCTAATTAAAAGTAAACAAGATAAATCACAGACAATAACTATCTATGATCAATTAAAAATCAATCAATCAATTAAAAATCAATTAATTAATTAATCAATCAATCAATGAATCAATGAATTGATCAATTAATTAAAAGACAATGAATTATAGTTATGTCATTTCAAATCATAATAATTTATTAAAACAACCATTAATTATTACTATAACCTTATATGATTATTTATGTAAATATTTTCTTATATGGTATTTACCCATAGTAATAACATTTGGATTTTTTGGATCAATATTTTGTTTATTATTTCTATTACATTCCAAAATATTTTCATCTAATTTATTAATATGGTTAATAAGTATTTGTATTGGTGATTTTTTAATATTAATAACTGAAGGTATATGGATGTTATTAAAAATATGGTATAAAATTGATATTAGAGATTATAATAATTGGTTATGTATTATTCATACAAGTTTATCAAATTATTTATTATATTGGTCAGCATATATGCAATGTATCTTATCAATACAACGTTGTTATCTTGTATTATATCCATTACAAATTAAATCAAAATGGATTTCATTAACAAAATTATTTATTTATCAAATTATCATATCGATTTTATTAATTATACCAATACTTCCATATCCATTATATTGGCAAATTATTAATAATGATTGTGATCCAATCAATGAAAAAATATTTCGTTTAACAACATTATGTGATTTAATATTTTGGGGATTAATACCAGTATTTGTTATGACTACATGTACAGGAATTATTTGTCGTAATTTATTAGCAAGGAATAAGTTTACAAATAAAACGATTCAATCTAAAATGAAAATGAATCAATCTAATAATCATAATCATAATCATAATTATTATTGTTCATCTCATACAACGAGAAATATCAGTGATTTATGTAAAATTCATTATCCAGAAGACACTGAAATACATATACATAAGGAAAAGAAATCATGTTGTTCAGAAAGTTTAATATCAAATCAAGAAAGTATATTGACTATAAATAATCAGACAATTCGTTCAATGAATGACATTCGAACAACATCAGAGTTAAATAAACGTAAATATATTACACAAGATAGTCATACACATGTAACACCATTATTATTATGCATGAATTTTTTTTATATGGCTAGTGTATGTCCATTACTTATTTATTTTTTATATTTAAATTTCATTGTAGATAGTATTGATAATAATATGCATAAATTTCTATACTACTTATTTCGTAGTTTATGCTTATTGAGTACATGTACTAATTGGATATTTTATTGTGTTGCTGGTAAAAAATTTCGTGATCATACAAAACAATTATTATTATCATTATGTAATTCTAATAAAATTTCATCCGTCATTAATGAAAATGGTTTCTTAATTATTAAATATACTGATAAGCATAGGTGTTCAGTTTCAAATATAACAAGAACCAAAGGATTATCATCATCGGATAATTAAACAATTCAAACATTATCAACCAATTATATATTATTATAACTTTTAAATTTAATTAGATATTCATGTTGATCAATCTATATAATGCCTTGGATTCTAATAATGAATGATCCTAACTATTATTTCCATACAACAAATAACTTAAATAAGCCATTTGTGATTCATTTTGTAGAAAAAGAAAATTATTGTATCACTTCTTATTCATTTAATTGTCGTGAAATACGTAAGAAATTGCTTCTTTTTCTTAATGGATATTAATTATTGAAAACATTCAATTAAGTTTGTCAATCATTTCACTGCTACATTTATATTAGTTCAGAATCAGAATAACTTTTTCTTTTCTTTTTTTTAAAAGTTACATTTCATATTGTCATTCGTTTAGTTAAAATATAAATTCATCAAATAGCCATACCCGAACATTAATATTGAAGAGAATAGACAAAACAATTCCTTGTAAGTACCCGAAAAGAAAGATTTTGAAGTTCTTATTTCTAAACAACAAATTGTATATATTTCCATAATAAAATACTCATTGGAAGTAAAAGTAGATTTATCATCGGATAGAGTGGTTCTGTTATAACTTAAAGCCTTATGCCACAATATATATATATATATATATATATATATATATATATATATATATATATTATACGAGCAGTTTAGGGTCTTTATCGGTCATTCTTCCTGCCTAACCTTATTTGTTAAGTCCAGAACATTAATCCCAGACTCTGTGATATGAATCATGTATTTCATCCATACTGGGTTTATATACAAACCAAACAGACCACATCGTATCATAAAATAGAAAGTAACATTTTTACAAGATCTGGTCAAAAGTGACTGTGAATTTAAGAGAATGTAATTAATAGACTGGGCATAATTGAAGAACAGTAAATCGTATAATAATAGTTTATGATTCAAAATAAAGTTTATACCAAGAACATGATTATGTATAGTTTAGTCACTTAACAATTATACAATAGGAATATATGCATCGTATTGGTTCATAAATAGTTCTCAAAAGTTACCATTCATAATTCTCGTTGGGATATAACAGGTTCATGGGTAACTAAAAATTTGAGAATTGCTCTTGGTTTAGCATTATATTAACGATAGAAATATTGATAAGTTTGTAATACGATTGCTTAGCATCTATATTGATTACCTTTTGGATTATTATTTCATTCTATACGTCATTGAAAGTATTTCACACTGTTTATTACAGATCCATAACTCTATTATTTAAACACCTATCCTTTTAACTGTTAATTATAAAGATGTAATCCATAATTAATGCTTTCAAATGGTTTTGTCTACTCCCTCCACTGTTGACTTTACATTATGTGTATAAAATGGATATTGATTACTGAATTAAATATTCTTTATTATTATGGATACTACAAGTTATATCTAGCTGAAACCAAGGTATGAAATGTAATAATGAGTTTTAAAAATCTCACTGTCTTTCTTTAAATACAAAAATGTAATTTCCAATGCAGATATTGTTGATATCTCCTAAAAAGTTTGAAGGCAGTTTGTTATTATGGTAGTTGAGGAAAAGACAATAAACATAGTTAATTTAATTCATACTTAAAATAGTCATACGTTGATGAAACATAATGTTTGTTTGTCATAATCTTTGATTGTATTCCTATATTATCATTATCAAAAAAACAGGAACAGTGTGACTACTTCCAGTCATTCATTATTTTACATTAAGATATATTTTTCCGAAAATACTTAGAGGTAGTATAAGGATGGTATGTTTAAACTCTGATATAATACACTAGTAACACTGGTAACTATCCAATTCAATGAAGAATGTATTCTGTATAATAACATAAATTTCATCCGAACTTTATTTTCAACTGATCATGCTTGATAGATAATTATTCAGCTGAGGGACTTGTCTAAAACTATAAATGCTTCTGTAATTACTAACTTAGCTCATTTATTAATGTAAATAAATTGTGAAGTCATACTGATATAATTATGAAACAAATTGAAAGTATTTTATTTTATAGCAAGCATTCCCTTAATAAAATTAGGAATAAACTTCTTAATACGAATAGGAGGCTATGCTGACTAGGTTTTAGTTTAAGATTTTTCGTGGAGAATTGTATAATTTCAAAACATGTTGCATTACAAATAGTTATAAGATGGGGAATTACTGAAAAGTAAGGAGTAGTATTAAACTTATTCTGAAATGACAGGAACCTAACCAAGTCGAATGTAAGACAAATGACAACCATGTTAATCTCTTCAAATAAAACAAAACAGGTGTTCAATCTATGTCAAGCTAATATTTGTATAAGATTGTATAGCTGAGAAAATAGATTCATTGAAATGAATTCTCTTGTTGATATTTGTGTTCTATTCTGAAAACAGATAACCATCTTATTAGTCATCGAGATCGCGAAGCGATCTAAGCTAAACAGCTATTGAAAACCTAGAACCATTGGACGGCTATTTTTTCATAGTATGCTCCATACTATGCTGCTTGCAATGCACATCCAGTACACAGCTACCGTTTATCAGTTTCCACAATCCTTTACTGATGATCTTTTTTACTGAATAGATCATTAAGCATTTATTTTCTTTGATAATTTCATTTTCTAAATCGTATTACTAGCAACTTATTCTATCTTGATTAAAAAATTGTAGCCAATCGCTCTAAGCATACAACTTTAAACTAACAAGCTCAATCTGAACGTACATTTTCATTTATTATAATTTAAATAACTGTAAAGAATCATTCATCAGTGTGAAATGAGAATGAGTCAAAGTTAATTTGAAAAAACTACCTCTTATTGGTAAATTATGGTAGATTAATCTAGAATTGTATTAGTTGAGATCATGAGTCATTTGAAGCTAGATCACCATGGAAAACCTGAGAGCACTGGATGGCTGTTTCGTCCAATCGTGGATGCGCACTGTTGAAGAGTCTCACAATAGGACTAAACGGCCGTCCAGTACTTCTAGGTTTACCATATTGGTCTAGCTTCAACTGGTACATGATCTCAACTATTAAAATTACTATAGTATCCACAAAACCCCTTCTAATACCAATCTAGAATTGTTTATTTTTTCGATATACATTTTTATTATAAACATTTGTTTTTCTATACCAACGGTAGATCATTTCATATATGAACAAGTAAATTTGATTAATTAAGGTAATTAAATGAATATAAGCTAATTAGACATTCTATTCACAATGGAATGATATTTTTGTTTAGATTTCAAATGATTTTTATATAAAAAATTAAGAAATTAATTAGAACAACTAAATTAATACACACCATAAATTTTTTTTATCAGAAAACAAGTGGGAAATTTGGGCTGATATAGATTCTTTATTCATTTGTTCCCATACAAACAATCAATGTGAATCTTTTAAAATTTCCCATTTTTTGATGTTCTTTTCCCTGCTAATTTCAATGTTTAAAAAAGAATCCGAATTAAAAGTTTTCTAAATTTTGACAAAAAAAACCTAGTAACTGTTTTAATGAATGTGAAGTATGACAACATAGCAGATATATCCAGCTGGTAAGTTAGAAATATGAGGTGACGCCGTCCCTGGATTCCAATATTAACCATATCCTATCTACTCTATAAAAATTTGTGTTAATACACTAGGAACTAGTGTAGTTCAGTTTCATAAACGTCTATGAAGTGCAGAAATTGAAAAATATTGTCTATTATAATATATATTTGTGAAAATTAGTCCTCATTTGCCTCAATACCCTTATCAGCTACTATCGTACGAATGTGTCTATTTTTTGTGTTTCCTAAAGTTTCTAATCAGTTTTATGGTCCTTAATATATGCCATGGTTGACTTCTTTTGATCTTTGATTATTACTTTTAGCTTTTAATTTCTTCTGGTGTTAGTTTCCACAGTCCCTTTCATTGCTGTAAGCGACTTTTTTAACTCCACTAACATTAGGTGCACCATCATAAATCAAAGCATACTTTAGATATTTTTGAGCTATGTTATTTGAGTCTGTCAAAATGTGGATGTCAATTCGTGTCAGATCAATGTAAGTGAACACAATATCGTATGTACCATATAATGACGATGTTCGAGATCTAGTTGTGTAACTCATGAGTGTCTAGGATTATCCGTACTCCAGAAACTTTGTTAGTCATCGTACTTATCTTGCTATTCTCATGTTTATAAGCCTCTCAATGAAACAATTAAGTTATGTCTTTTATCAAATATAATATATCGGCTCTTAATGTCGGTCAGCTTCGTGTATCCTCATAATATAGGATGTAGTCTGCTGATGTAATATTTCTACAAATCTGTGATTGCTTTGGCACTTGAATCTTCATCCTGATTGTCTACAGAATCTAATATTGTGATTAATAGGTAGTTAATTAATAGTTTATTGCTATAAGATTCCTAATGGTTATAATAACCATCAGAATAGGGTTGTCGAGATTGCTAAGTTTTGATTAAAAACGAAGGTCAAAGGTTTGAGTCTGGCGTGAGGGATTGTGTATGCGCACTGCTGAGAAGTCACATACTAGGACGAAACAACCGTCCAGTGCTTCCATGTTTTCATTGGTGGTCTAATATTGATCGGTTCATGATGTCGATGAATAACAATAATTGTCTTCCTTATTATATGTTTAATACAATATGGAATTCATAGCATAAAATATTTTAACTATTTACCTTTATTTTCCGTGGGCGTCACAAAAAGTACACGCAAATACAATAAATAAGTAAAAATATACATAATTGACTAAAATTTGTGTAAGAAAAGAAGAATCTTTACTTAGTGAATAATGTGCATGTTCCACAACATTTTCTTAGTATTATAGATGTAATAGATACAGTATTGTACAATTTTTATACTTTGCTTCACGTATATGATGTTGATGCATCATTCTGCTAAAAAACACTATTGAAGTTGATTGTCTCTGTCGGGCAAAAATACTTTTGCCACTTATTTAGAAGATCTTATGTATTCATTTAGAATCATATCTATAAGAATGTTACCGATCTCCCCCATGGACATATTAATACTCATCATTACTCTATGCAACACAGGATAACAGGTAACATACAAGAATTTTAAAAAAATAATAAGTATAAAGTAATTCTACAAACACATAGCTTTTGTAGATAATAAATAAGGCAAAAACTTTATCCAATATTAGGGAAATTTTTTGAAAGCCAAGACAAATAAAGAGCAAACATTAAATCATGATAGATGGCGTTTAAAGTAGCTTTTTATTGGAAAGCCTTCTATATTACATACTTTGTGTAACTTCAACAATGTGTTTAGGTGCCATTCATGCCTCACAACAAAGTTCAAAGATTAAAATTTAGGAGGATTTAGTGTAGACTAGTAAAAATAGACAATCGTTTAATGTGCGTTGAGACAGTTACAAAAGGATTGTATTTATTTAATTAAACACAATATTGGTTCAAATACATATGTACCACACTTCGTTATTCGATTTGTGTGAGAGCTGGAATACTGCTAGGGTGCTCAGACCAAAATAGGTGATTCT